CTTATTAGAGAGAGAGAATATGCATGAGCAGGGAAGGACCAGAGGGAGAGAGAGAATCTTAAGCAGGTTCCATGCCCAGTGCGGAGCCCAAAGCAGGACTAAATCTCATGACCCTGGGATCATGACCTGAGCCAAAATCAAGAATTGGATGCTTAACCAACTGAGCCACCCTGGCACCCTGTATCTGTTTACTCTCAGCTCTAGCCACATTGGCCTTCCTCTCTTCTTAGAACATGTCAGTGTTGTTCCTGCCTCAAGGTCTTTACCAGCGTTGTTCCCTCTGTTGGAATACTCTTACCTGACTACATTCAGGGCTTCACTTAGAGGTTCAAGGAGACCTTCCTTGACCAGTCTAAGTGGCTTGCCCCGCATTTGTTCCCTATCACCTGTTTCATTGATCACGCTTTTCACTATCTGAAACTCTGTTGTGTGTGTATTGGGCATTTGTGTCCCTGCACTGGAACACGTGCCATTTCATGGGTCAGAGATGTGACCTGACTTGTTCCCTGTTTATTTGCACTGCCTGGAACATGGCACGTGGCAGGTGCTTAGTGTATGCTGGTCAATTAAGGCAAATAAAAAAGTTCCTCACACTGTGTGCTTATCTGAGCCCCAGGAGCCTCAGAACATCAGCCTTAGGGGCTCAACCTTACTTTCTGTGGGGCAAGGGGACCAAACATCAGCTTTGGGGCTGGACAGGCTGCCTTCCAAGCCAGTGGTGCCCCCCTCCCGGCCTCGTCTCCTCACCTGCCAGATGAGGACAGTATCATCATCCTGATGTGTGTCAGACAGAGCACAGCTCTTGGCGTACCCTGGAGTCAGACCACAAGAGTTCCCCCATTACCCTCCCTGTACCCCCTTTGCAGCCATTGGCATCCAAAGGCGTCTCTAAGTGGACCCAGAGCGCCCAACGCTTCACAGGCTACCTGGTGGCTCAGGATAAAATTTTGTTTGAAGTGAGGGCCAGTTTGGTAACTGGAGGGTTTTCTTCTCGCAGAGTCACCCTGTACTTGCAGGAGAGGGGATGCACGTGTTCGTCTGATGTCTTACAAATTCTGCCCCTCCCCCGCTCCCCCAACAGTGTCGCTGCTGCTGCAGGGGATCCGAAGACACAAGCCTGTGAGAGAGATTCCTGTCTCTTAGGTGCTTCCTCTCCCTGATAGCATTTCCCAGTTTTGCCCCCTGGGCTGTTATTCCCATCTCTGCCTGATGGTTAATCCACAGGGAGTCTGGCTTCGGAGTCTGGCTTCTCCCACAGCCTGTGAGCTCCCTGAGGACAAGGGCCAGCGCTTTTCCTGACCCTGGCCTCCTCCATGCCTAGCACACATTTGTTGAAAGAATATGGAGGAGGGAAACCAAAGATGAAGGGAAAACCAGTAGTCCGCGTAGCTTTCAGTTCACAGGGCACCAGCTCAAAAGGGTGAAATGGCTTATTTAACCTTTGTTCTCTGGATGGCCCACGGCTCCCCTGGGCTTAACCTGCAGAGCAATGGACACATTTACTGAGTTGAAAGCAGAATGGTGGAAGTCCTGCAGGTGAAAGCTGCATTATAGTTCCCAACCCATCACC